TGTATATTGAACGTGTAACTTCTTGAACACTCAAAATTAAATCGATACACTCCAAACTCTTCCTTGAAAATCTTGATTGTATACTGAGTAGTTGTTTAGTGGAATTTATTGTACTGGTTCTGATCATACATTCATACCTTGTTATTTCGTCATGCTATACAATTAGGTGTCTACTGTCTAGAAAAGTCACTTCATCACTGAAATTGCTCTGTAAGGTCAATTTCTTATGATATGATGTATATTGTATTTAGATTCACTGCAGTCCYAATACTTTGGTTAGGAGCAATACTACCAYCGTCTCCGTCCATTAATGCAGTAGGTACTCTACTCTTAGTGGTCTGTCTCTGTACRTATTCAATTTAAGGTAGTTCAAATCATTCGAAGGAGGTTGTAGCCARGTTGTTTGTTCTGAGGGTTTTAGACGAAGGAAGTTCTTAACTTTCAAAAAGTGAAGCTAGGTACTAAGAACAAGTAGCCAAATGAACAGGGCAGAATTGATTGTATCTGATGAAATGTGCATACTTTCATTCAACCTGGTATCCATGACTTGATTTAGACATGAGCACTATTTAATCAAGCYGGGGCAACTGYACTCAACTTTAATTACACRATCCCATAAGTTTTCCCAGTTTTTAGACTGTTTATTGCCACTTCATAGTTGGAAAAATTGTAAGCAAATTCTGATTTAAGTTGAGCCCTCTATTTTAAGTATTGCAGTTCAGCGTTTAGTCTTCCTGAAGGAGTTGTGCATGGGCACTCTGGAGGTTATGATGATACAATTAACTATGTCATTAGAGTTAAGTACAGAAGTTTACTTTTGATCTCATGGGGAATTAGGATTCAATTGCTCTAAAAGTAATCAGGCTTTAATGTTGGATAATTTAAAGTCCAAGGTTTCTACCAAGTTAGTAGACTATATATTGTGAGATGTAGTTAGTGAATCAATTAAGTGTATGGTTAAAGAGGTATTTAACCTGGTAGATTATTTATTTTATTACGGAATGTATTCCTAATGAAATCCTCACAAGATGTGATTCTTTCCCATTGAAATAACCAAGGTAATGATGGGTGAATATCTTTTGGGAGACAGAGGAAGCAATGTTAAYATTGTAWACACATAACAGATTACATATAACAAAAAAACACAATTTAAGATAGAAGGGRATACCTTAAATTTTGCAACAAAACCACAGAATAAATGCTGTGACAAAAATAATAGGCCAATATAAGTGATTACTGTAATGATAATATTTATAACATTTAGACATACTATTACCAATTAATTAACATAATTAAGTAAAATCTGGATGTTTTAAAAATAATCTTAAACAAATATTTAAAGTTAGTTAAATATTTTATTATGCATTATACATACAAATATTTTAAGTACTTGTTGAAGTAAAATAGTAAGTACATCAATTAAAAAAAATGTATTTACATATTATATAATATATTAATTATTTATGGTAAAAAAAATATTTAACGGTATACAGGAATAAAATACAAATTAGTTAAATTTAAAGATAAATTGAAAATTAAAAATGATTTTCCTGGTTAAACTTAATATTTATATTAATTAGTTAGTACTCATTTGATATAATGTTGATAATAAATCAATAACGTACTAAATAAATAAATAAATTTGTCTGACATAGTAACATTAAAAAAATTAAATAAATCAACAACCACTAACAAATGYACTATTTGTAATTTATATTATTTAAAATGTTAAAAGAAACTATATAATGAAAAATGTACTGAAAATTGACAGGTTTGGTAAACTGTTTTCCAAAAATCACTCTATACAAAATTTAAATAAATTCATAATTTATCTAACAAAATTATTTGTTATATTTGGGTCAATTTCTATTAAGAAAATATGTAATACTAATTTAACAAGTCCTAGATCCTAATTGTTTAAATAGGTACTTACTCCAATATTTATAAAGGAAATAGCTAAATAATTTACGTGAATGAAGACTTATATACACACATACATATAGAAAAAATTAATTAATTAACAGTTGATGAAATAATCAATAAGTAAAAATCTAAAATAATTCTTACCAAATATTTATTTAAAATCAATAAATTAGATATATTTCTTAGGATCAACAAGACAGTAAATTGAAATACCATGTTTTAATAATTAACAGGTATACCAAATGTAAATTAGTTTTAGTAGATAGGTACATAGGTAGGTATGACTTTTAGAATTCAGAACAAAAATATTTTAAAATGGATAGAACATTGGAAAATGTTATACTTGATTTATTTATTTTTTAATCTTTTATTCAATGTGTATAAAAATATGGACAATAAAAACAATTGAGGAAGTWAATACTTTATTTAAGACCATGAATATGCAAGTTTTGTTTGATCACAGAAGTATTCAAGTAAATAATATCAGGGTATGCATCTTGAATTCAGTTTAAAGTGGTAATACTATATTCTTCAGAAAAAATGTGTAAGTTTTACTGGTTAGTTGGAAGACACTCAAAACTAGACCTAGCAAATAAACATCACCTGTAGATATGTAAATAGGTATTATTGTATTGAAAAACCAATTTGGACTTAAAGATTTTAATGTCTGAATCTGACCARGTATTAATTCTGATGACTGTTGAAGTTAACACAAATCTAGGTATACAACATCAAAATAAATTTAAAATAAAAAGTCAAAATGTGAAAACAATGAAATTTATACGTTAAGAATTTTTATGAATTTTATAATCAATAATAGCACAAATTAGACATCAGTATTTTAGAATGAGCACTTTATACACAATATGTATGTGAAAAGATATTAGCATGCCGCAAACTTAAACTTGATTTTCTAACACATGTTGTTTTTATATACAGTCAGAAACTTAGTAACAAATTCATTGACTCTTGATTTTTGTGGAGGTTAATAAATGTAGAAAAATATTAAATCAGAAAAGAAGAAAACAGTTTGTAAATGTTGAATACTTAGAGCTTAT